CGTGTGGATGCCACCTTCGGGTCTCCCCGGTGTTGCCGTTGTGTTGCATTTGACCCAACTCACACAGGCCCTTGGCTGCGGTGGGCTGCAGCAAGGTCACTCATCCCTTCAGCCTTTCAACCCTCGCTCTAATGATACCAACAACAGCAAAACGTCTTCTCAGGGCTTTCAATGACACAGCACACACAAAAACACACCCTGCACCTGCTGGTCCGTTCTGTAGATTGAGCCGCGCAAGTGCAGAGCCCAGCAGGTCCTCGCTGTACCACACATTTAAACATACTGAGCAGGGCCAAGGGTAGGCCGGCTGGTAATGCACTCTAAAGCTGTCAAAGATCATGGGATGGCTACAGTGGTTCTCCTTCTGCGTATGATGGTCTGATTTCTTTTCTAGGGAGCTTTCAATCTTGTATAGCATGAGCACACAGAAGCTGGAGAGAGCTAGAAAGACACCCGTTCTTAGCCGCCTGGAAGAAAGTGCTTTAGTTCACTTTGGGGGTTTGTTTCGGGTGTAAACTCAAATGCTACCACCACCCAGCGAATTTTCTCAGCCTTTTGAAAACCCTACCTACAAATCCCCTAATGAGTTTAGCTCTCTGAACGTTTAAGAATTTGCTTAGAGAGGTGTGGTGGGAGACCCACACAGCTCGCAGCGTATCCCAGGGAATACAAATGGCCCGAGAAAACAGATTCAAATGCCTCCCTGTATTTGATTGTGCTCCCTAGTTTTCTCTTGTAAGACTGCATCTTCTTCAGCTGCCCACTTCACTGTCCACACAGATGCATGCCTGCTCCTTAAAGGATGAGTGACCCAGACATCAGCTGACCTGTCTCAGAATTACATGAGCTACCATGTAGTTTAGTGATTTCCATCTGGGATTACTGTAAACTTGAGGAATCTGTGAAAATTAAGAAAATTTTAGAAGACTGGATAAAATTTCATTATGAATACACAACGACAACTTCTGAGTTACAAGTCAAGTCCTGTTGTACAGGGGATGGGGTGGGAGAATCACATTTAGCATTTCACATTCTAGCTTTCTCCGTGTATTTGGTCTACAAGACCAGAGGAAGAGCTTAACAAGAGGTGTCATTAGGATTTTGGTATTCAGGCATACGGTGGATCTCATAAATGCAGAGCTTTGGTATGCAAGAAGTCTGCCTATTCAAGTAGTTTATTATTTTAGTAGTGCTCGTATTTCACCTTTGCAATTAGCCTGAACATCTGGCCAAATAAAATAGTAATTAAATGTGTGAGACTGGAAGGTCAAATACAGTTCCATACATCCTCTTCCACCAACAGAGAGCAGCTAGGAGTGTTTAAGAAAGTATTATAGGATATGAGAAGACATTTCTCCTGGAAGATTTCATTTTATCTTTGGGGGCTTCAAAATAAGTTTTGGTGAATACAGAGAACACTTACTGTGTATGGTTGGATTCGATAAGCTGGCTGGGAGGCGAGGAGGGTGTTAAACAGAGGCAATTCCTCTGCACTGCCCTGTATGCGTAGATATCCTTTTCATGACATTCCACTACAGCAACTTATTTCAGTGCATGCATCCAACTGCTTTTTTAAATTTACATTTTTCTTCCCTTTGATAAATTCAGAAGGGGGTTGTTGTGCTCTAATACGCCCGAAATAAAAGAAGCTATAATTGACAATTGCTGTGCTCTCAAAACAGCCCTTTAGCCTCTCATATTTTATTCAACAATATCTGATCCTATTCCCTATTTTCTTCTCTGAGTCACACCTTGCTATTCCAGAGGAACAGCTGCACTCCTGCTCATGAACCCAAGAGCCGTGTGACTGTGGAAGAGAGCCCCTCCCACAGACAGCGTAAGATGAAGACCACAGGCTCTGACTGCATATACGGACTTCAGTATTCACAAGGTGTCTCCCTTGTTAACCCAAGCCACGTCTGAAACACGCCTTAGGAAACAAATACTCAGGCCAGAGGCAAGCACTTCCCACATTCACCAGAGCGGCCTGCCAACACGCTCCTAAAAATAAGCGTTTTTGAAGCGATCATAGGCTGGAAATCCAGATGCCAGAATTAACACACTATGACGACTATGAAGATACAAATGGTCATCAAAGTGAAAACTAGGATGTTTTTCTATGTGCTGATAAGCACAAGGTTCCTCAGAGTGGACGGCACACATAAGGCAGAGTTTAGGTCGTTGTTAACAGCTATACTGTCCAGGACATGGTGTCTGTAGCGTGCCCTTGCTGACCCTTGGTCAGAGTGGACGGCACACGTAAGGCAGAGTTTAGGTCATTGTTAACAGCTATACTGTCCAGGACACGGTGTCTGTAGCGTGCCCTTGCTGACCCTTGGAGCGCACACTTAGTCTCCCCCAAAACGAAGCCAGCTGCGGCAGCCCGAGGCTGCCCCGTGACATGCACGCAGCAAGCACAGGCAGCGGGGGCAATCAGGAGATGCACCTCAAAAGCACACTGCTGGTGGGAAGAGATGGGCATCCCCTGCAACACTTGGAGAAGGCAACGCTTCGCCTGAATTGTTGAGCGGTGAGGCAAGGACAAGGTCTGTGCGGGGTGAAATCAAATGTGGTCGTGGTTACACATGAGCAGAACCAATTATCACCCCGTTTTCAAGCCGTGGAGGAATGCCTTGTGTGCATGCACCAGAGACTGGGCATAGCAGGTAAGGAAACTCTCCTCACACTTACTTATTTTATAAGTTAAAGTCAGTTTGCTCTGCAATGCCCCAAATCACTTTCTCAGTGCATCAGAATTCGGTTAGTTGTCTTTCTTAAGCTCTCAGATGAGTCCTAAATTTTCCTGATGACATCCCAATAGATGACTAACCTATAGACACACAACACACAGCCCAAGGACAACCTTGAAGGAACAAGAAAAGGAAGGGATCAAAGCACAGCCCTTGCAGGAGGCTGTGCCGGCGCAGGGGTGCTCCAGGGCCAGCAGCGCCCCGGCAGCTGGCAGTGCTCAGGGGCTGCTCATGGGTTCGGGGGGCTGGGGGCACCCCATCTGTCCCGGAGCAGCAAAAGGAAGGAAGGTTTAATTGTTGGGTCCTCTTGCAGGCCCTCTTGCTACAGTCTGTCACCTCCCAAGTGCTTTCGTGCCACACGATTATTCCTGTGAAGCCAGAGCCTGTTTATTTGGTTTTAGGGTTTTGCAGCTTGGCCCACACCCTGCCATCTGAAAAGGTTCACTAACAATTCTGCCTCCGCCTTTTTCCTGCTCTTTTGAACCTAATTGTGATGAGTATTGCACCGAAAATGTGGTCTCTATTTCAAAAGGATCGACATAATCTGCTCCCAAGTGCCTGTGCTTTCTCTTCATACTTAGCTAGGAAACAAATGACTATGATGAAAGGGAAGGATCTGGTGATCTGCCAGTATTTCTGACAACCAGAACAGCAATATGAAACCATATAACCACAAAGGTTTCTACAGGGGACAATGTAAAAGATTTGCTACAAACCAATGACAGATCTGTAAGGATCTTGCTAAAGAATTATCCAATCATTGTTTAACACTTTTGTATCAAATGTTTAGTTCAAGAAGGCAGTTTATTTAAAATAGCAAGTCAATGTTTTTCTGTATAATTTCTGCTGATCCTGCATCTCTAACCACCCTGGGAATCCTCTGAGTAACACAGCAGCTTAAGCTTCATGTTATCGTTGCACTAACCTTTCAGCTGTCCTTAACAACATGTTTATTTTTTTACAATAGCTGGGACTGAACTGCATTGGAAGAGAAAGGTGTGGACAGCTGGTGAAGTTCAGTGAAAGTGGATGTGAACAGGGCTTTTAAAAAATAGGTTTTGTTTTACACCCGGCCCCGGCCACATGCTGAAGGAAGGGAGGGAGGTTACCTGGGCTCAAGGAGCTTCCATCATGCCATCAGTCAAACTGTATTGTAAACAGCTTCCAGCTGTTTACTTAAATCAGACTTAAATCATACTACTTCTACTTTTGATATGAAGTTAAAAGCCTGGAGAAGACACGGTCATCATTTTTTTCTTAACTGTCAACCAGTCTGGGGAATTGTTTGGATGTAGGCACTCGGGGCACTGCACCAAAAGAGGTAGGTATCTGAGAAGATAAGGAGAATGGATTTAATATCTCTTCGTTCAGCAGATGACGACATAAACCAGAGCAAACCTCAGAGAAAGGGCTATTGATTCTACTTACTCTGTTTTTTGATGAGCACTCAGATCATCTAGGTGTTTTTTGCAAGTATTATCTCTTAATGCACCTGCCCCTAACAGTCATAACGCTGTTAGATAAGTACATAGAGACTCAAACTGAATCCATACTAAAAAATAGTTTGAAGGGTTATTTTTGCTTGAACCAGGAGTGAATTGGAACCATTAGTCTGAACTGTTTATGGAGCCTAAGCTGGGCTTGATTTTTTTTTTTAAGAAAGCCTTTCAGCTTTCTAGATAAAACCAAACTGAAAATGCATATAAACAAGCTAAAAGCAAGATTCTACACAAACAGGAAATATTTGTACTTATGTCAAAGTTTGCTGTCACTAACGTCTTACCAGAGTGCCAAGGCTGGAAATGACGTTTCAGAAATCCCAGAGCTGTAATTTTGCATGAGAAATTTTATGCTGAGCAAAGCAAGTAAGGCAACACCTTTAAATACCCAACGTATTAATAGCCCATTTATTTAAACAAAAGACTTTCCTGCCATATGGATGTTACAAGAGCGATTAAAACAAAATGGATGAAAATTAATCATGAGTACCATAGATCTTTGTAGAGATATACTCCTGCAACAGGTCTTTACACCTGTTAACACACCTCCTGTAAGGCAAATGAAGACATAAACCATAACATCTCCGCATCTCACGCAATCTCTCTCCCCCCTCCCCCTCCAAGTTATAGGAAATGACGTCAAGCCATTGGGCACAAACCTAATTCCAGAGTATGCAACGGTTCACACAGTGATGTGCTTTTATGAGTCTTGACAACATGAGAAGTGGGGTCCAGCTCTGCGCCTCTAAAACTACCAGCCCTGGTAGATGGGAGAGCTCCTGGTTAATCTGTCATCATTGCTAGTGTTACCTTCAGACAACATGCCTATAGCCTCATTGGACTGTTGGCTGTCAGTTGTCGATATCTTCTTTGAATCATGGATGTTGCTTTGGTAGTTCACCGGTGAGGGATAGGCGTTTTCGTCCACAGTTGATGAGGACATTGATTCCCAGGGTATTTCTCTTTTTCGCCATTTCAGGTCCACTCTGCATCCCATCCAGCCGTAGAAAGCTAACGTGAAGAGGAAGCCTTGCATAGGATTAAGAACCCCCTAGGAAGGAGAAGTGCAACAGGAGTTACACCAGCAAGGCCCCGTTTTCAACTCCAGCAAAACGCTTTGCCTGCATTAACAACTTCCCTTTCACTGACCGACTGATGTCTTTAAAATACGCTATTTGCATGGAAATAAAAATGTATGTTGTTCCCATTGCAGACACAAAAAAATCAGAGTGAAATACCACAACACGTTGTTCCAATATGCTCAGGCCATCCCAGTGAATAGTAAGCACCAAATAGTTTTCTAGCATGAATTTTAGCTGGTCAATCCCCTGGTGTGTTTTCAACTGTCCCCACAAGCTTTAGACTTTTTTATTCACAAAAACAAATATTATATTTTTCACTAGGAGCCAAGTCAAATACATGAGAGTAGACACTAGCACACACAGTCAAGTTTTTTTTAAATAGCAGAAACTGATCCATCTGGAATTGCTGCAGATTCCTGAGTCAGTGAAAACGTCCATCAAAGTGGGATGGAAAAACGGGGAGAGACACTGAAAAAGAAAATCCCAAGTGAAATCCCAAAATATTGTCTCTGTTCTCAGTGCCATGGGATACTTGGCAAGCAAATGGCTTTAGCTGTTTCCATTTTTCTCATGAGAAAATAGCCAATTATTTTTACAGCTAATTTAAAAAATAGCTCAGTTCCTAGACGTGACCTCTCGCTCTCCAGGTGAGCAAGAGCAAGGTCGCTGTCACATGGATGCGTTCACTCCTTGTCAGAGGAAGAGGTTGTATCAAATCAGTTGCATTGCTTAACCCTCAAATACAAAACTGCTCAAGGGCTTAACTACACAAAGCGTGCTCAGGTATTTAACAGCTCCAGAATAAAGTCTCTTGGAAGAGCAACCTGCAATATCACCTCTGAAAAATCCCTTGTCAAATATTCCAACAGGACAAAAGAGGGTAGGATACAATAAGAGGCCAGCATCTTACACATATTTTTTGGTGCTTTGATTTGAAGATTTTTCATGTATTTGTCCTGAAACAATTATCCACATATTGAGGTATAAGATACAATTATTCTTTACAATAAATAAAACCCTAGTTACAAATAGAGAATTACTGAAAATGAGCATTTTATTTTCAGGATTTTCAGGAATCATGAGCTAAAACTTTGTAGCTTACTTTATGGCAGAGGTTAGCAAGGTTAGACTAGAAATAGTTGTAGTGGTCTGTTCTGGATCTTAAAATAGGTAACAATCAGTCACAGAGAGAATGCATAGTCCAGTAAATGTGAGAAAAAGCTGGCCTTTGGTATATTTTTGGCAAAGTTTATATGTGAAAAGCACTCCCAGTGGCTGCTTCTTATTTTCTCTTACTTTCTGCTTTTATTCTCTGATTTTCAGTGTTTATATCCCCAAAACCCATAAACCACCCACTACATGGGTGCTGTTCCACCAGTCTTATAAAAGTGATGTCTAAGACTAAGCAATGTCACGGCTGACCTACCATTATAATCCATGTGATCAGTGCAGCACTTCTGATGTTTTTCAGGGGCATTTCATTGATATCTGGCTGCATTTCGAGATAGAACAAAAGGCTCTCATTGATGATATTGGATGACCAGCTATTGCAGGAGTAAAGAAGAACAAGACAGTTACATATTTATATGTATGTGTATGTAAAATATTTATATTACATATATACATAAATTACCATCAGGTAATAGAAATTAGGATCACTAATAAGGAGAGTGAGATTTTTTTTAATGTTGAGTCTCAATCTGAAGGGACCAGTAGGTCCCTCAGATCATGATCAAAAACGGGACATTCACCTACTAGCACAAGCCTAGACAAAGAAATCAATATAACAACAATAACAACAACAAAAGAAGCTGATCATTTGCGCTTGCTGCAGAACGGTAAATTGCAGGATAAAATTGAGATAGTAAACAGCTGTGATCCATAACGGGAACATCATGCATGCTGACTTCTTTCGCTTCTGTCTTAAAAGGATAATGCTCACAGCTAAGGAAACCAAATATATGCATACAGGTTGTAAAAGGCTGCAGAAACTCCAGCTGGAGTTAGAAATTCAGTCAGATTACAGCAGACTTTCAAACTGTCCATTAAAAAAAAAACAAACTATAAAATGAACAAATATTGACTTTAAAACCCTTGAAAATGGCATTGAATTTTTGGAATAAAGGCAATTTCTGTTTCCAAATATGATAAGCATAATCAAGCCTCATCCTGTGAAAGAAAGTGAGGGTATTCTACACTAAATAAAGGTTATAGCAAAAGGCTGTAACATCTTCTGACTTCTAAACAGCCAGACCAGCGTTTCTTTATCTTTCTACCACAGCTTCAGAACAGAAACCATCAGCATCCACGTCGTACTTTCCAAAGGGGTTTATATATGTCCTTACTGCAAGTATATTTTTATCACAGTATAAAACTTCCTGCTCTTCCCTCTCAAATATGCAGGCATCTCTTCTACCCCATGTTGCCCCAACCTGCTGTCTTTGACTAACTCATCTCGTATTTGACTTCTGGGATGGAAGGGAATAATCCCTAAACTTCTGAGATGGGACTGCCTCAGTCTTT